AGAGCTCTATATAAGGATCCTAAGGTAATTAGGGACTAGTTCTAACTAGTAGAGAATACTAAAGCTAAGTATAGTATACAAGATAAAGACACCTATAACTTTAATAAGTCTAGCTTTATAATAGGTGTTATATTAACAGGAGCTGTTATTACAGGCTCTAAGCGTTAAGGGAGACTAAAGGCAGTGCAGTAGGGCAACTAAGAGTAGACTAGTATTATCTAAGGCATCTGCGCAAAGGGCTAGTCTATCCCACCCTTTATTATCTTCTCTAGCAAGCACTACCTCTCTGCCTAGTACAAGGAGCCTAGTATACCTAATAACTAGGTTCTTAATATCTCTAACAATAGCTAGACTAACAACAAGCTTAGAGTTAAGTAGTTAAAGCACTTTAATAAGCATACAAAGGCGCGCACTGTTAGCAGCTATTAGCTGCTTATTCTAGACGGCCACGAGAGCTACAACTTAGTCAAATTCCACTAGTACTGCGAGGAACACAAGATTATTACCCTGTGTATGCCTCCACACTTATCGCACCTACTGCAGCCACTTGACGTAGGCTGTTTTGCCCTATTGAAGAAGGCCTATGGCCGCCAAGCCAAGCAGCTGATGCGCAGCAAGATTACTCACATCACTAAACTTGAGTTCTTGCCATGCTTCAAAGCGGCTTTTGACGCCTCAATCACAGAGAGCAACATCTAGGGGGGATTTAGAGGTGCTGGCCTAGTCCTACTTAACCTAGAGGCTGTGCTATTAAAGCTTGAAGTACAGCTGCGCACGCTAATTCCACCTACTGTAGACAACAGTACGTAGGAGTCTAAAACACTAAGCAACACCCTAGAATTTAGGTCTTAATTAAAGCTAATTTAAGAGAGGATTTAGAGACACGCTAATAGCTTGCCAATGTCTATAGTTAATGCTCTTAATTAGCTCACTAAAGGCGCAGAGCTAATGGCGCATTCACTAGTTTTAGTGCGTAACTAGGTTGCTGACCTACAGGCAGCTAACAAGGCTGCTACACGTTGTAAATCACACAAAAGGAAGAAATTACAGCAAGAGGGGACTCTAGTCTTTGCTAAGGGAGTGTGGCTGACTACTCTAAAGGAGTTTAAGGCCTATAGTGATAGGAAGAAGGTAAAGAAGAGGTTGCGTGTTAATAGGAGCACTTAGTCTCTAAGGCGCTGTGGTATATGTAGCAAGATAGGGCATAACGTGTGAATATGCAGTAAAGATACACAGAGTACTACAGACTAGTTTAGTATACTGTGTAGTATAATATATTATAGTTGTGTGCTGTAATGTTGCAAAGTAGGTGCAGTATTGGTGTGGTCTTGGCAAAAGTGGCCAGCTCGCTTGGGTGGCCAGCTCGCTTGTGGAGTACGTTATACTGCCTTACAACGTGGTTGAGTTATACGCTTAAAGAGGTGATTAAAGTTGGTAGGGCTGACGACTCGTTTGTATTGACGACTCGCTTGTAAAACACGTTATATAACCTTAGAGTCCTTGCAGAGGGCTTGCTTATAGTTGTGCTTGCGATTAAAAACCATTTTAAGCTCCTCCTAACGCGAAACAAACGTGCTAGCCCACCTTAAGCTAATAGGGGCTAAACTGCGCTCTTTTCGCAGAGAATTGGCTATATCAGCCACAGCTGCGAGCTGGGGGGACTCTTCTTATGTGACTAGCTTATGTAAATTAGCTGAGTTACTAACAAGATTTAGCCTTTACTTTGTGTACCTGTTTGTGGCTAAATTTGCCTGTGTTTACATCCACTTAGTAAGCAGGACAGCTAGTTTTGAGTTTATTTGTATCTGCTAACATTCCCAGGTATTGATCTCTATCTCTGCGATTTGCACAACAAAAGCGTTGCAAATTAACTTTATTAAATACATTCTTTAACAGAACATCGCCTACTTTAATTTAGATGCAGCTGCATCTGTTACTGTTCAGGCTACGACTAACAGAAACATTGTTAACAATAGAATCTCGCAGAAACTAACACTTACCATACAAGGTATATACCTTCGTGACCGCTTTCGTCGTCGCTTTCGTCGTTCAATGGAAGCTCACCTTGATCACGTGGGCTATTGTTCCTACTATTCTCATTGTTACTGGTATCTGCATAGGTATAGACACGAAGAATGAGGCGCAGCTACTTCCCATCTACTCCAGAGCTGGACTGATTGCAGAAGAGGTGTTTTCCACTGTTCGTACGGTCCACTCTTTCTGGCTCAATCCGCTCTTGTCCAGCAAATACGACAAGCTCCTTGGCGATGCCATGAAGGTTGGCTGAAAGAAGTCGCCAAACTACTCAGTCTTGTTTTCGTCTGAGTTCTTCTGCGTCTATTGTGGGTACGCCCTGGCCTTCTGGCAAGGCATTCATTGATACCACAGCAGCGAGATAAGTAAATCTGGCGATGTGTAAGTCATTAAACTATTATATTCTGAAAAATCACTAATGATGTTCTAGCATTGTGGTCATCCTTGCTGTCATTTTTGCTGCGACAGCAATGACCCAGATCGCACCACAGATCCTAGCTTTCACTAAAGCCTCTTCTTTAGCAGAAGAGATGTTTAGGACTATTGACCAACAATCTGAGATTAACCCATTGAGTGAAGAAGGGCAAGTCCCCATGACATGCATTGGCGACATAAAAATCGAGAACGTCAGTTTCGCGTATCCTGCTAGGCCTGATATCACCGTCTTGAATGGCCTGCAGCTATCAGCTCCTGCTAACAAGACGACCGCGCTAGTCGGCGCAAGCGGATCCAGGAAGTCTACCATCATTGGCCTTCTAAAACGATGGTACAATCAGTCAAGCGGCACAATCTTTCTCGATGGTATTGATATCCAGGAGCTCAAATTGCATTGGCTGAGGACAAGTGTGCGATTGGTGCAGCAAGAGCCAGTACTATTTGCAGGAACAGTATATGACAACGTTGCTTACGGACTCTTTGGAACACCAAAGGTTGACCTTCCAGAGCCCGAACAGCGCGCACTGGTTGAAAAGGCCTGCAAGGATGCATATGCTGTCGAGTTCATCGAACGTCTGCCGAAGGGCTATGATACTGAACTTGGTGAGCGAGCAATCAATCTTTCTGGTGGACAGAAGCAAAGGCTTGCTATTGCACGCAGCATCGTCTCTGAGCCTAGGGTCCTTCTTCTGGACGAAGCTACAAGTGCACTGGATCCTAATGCTGAGAAGATCGTACAGCAAGCCCTCGATCGGGTATCGAAGAATCGAACGACAATCGTCATTGCGCACAAATTGTCTACGATTCGTAATGCAGACAACATAGCTGTCATGGCAGATGGTGCTGTAGTTGAGCAAGGTACTCACAACGATTTGCTTGCTCACAATGGTGCTCACTCTCGCCTTGTAAGGGCGCAAGATCTTGGCGATGCCGGTGCCGAAGATGACGAGAGCATGAGAGAGAAAGAAGGCGACACCAGAATGGAGCTTGTCCGAACGCAGACGCAGACGTCTGGTATGGGAAATGCAACAACGGAGCGAGCCAATGACGGTATCCACTATAATCTCGTTCATTGCATCTGGATTATCTTCAAAGAGCAGAGGCACCTCTACAAAATGAGCCGCGTCTACTCCTTTTAGACGAAGCTACGTCCGCACTTGACACGGAATCCGAGAAGATTGTACAAGCTGCACTCGAGAAAGCGAAGAGCGGTCGCACCACCATCGCAGTTGCCCATCGTCTGAGCACTATTAAAGACGCTGACTGCATCATCGTATTTGTGAGAGGGATGATTGTCGAAAGCGGCACACACAAATACTTGCTGGCGAAGCGTGGTGTCTACTATGAGATGAGCCTAGGGCAGAGCCTCAACAAGCAGATACTGACCTAACAGGAAAACGACATGTAAATTAGATCTAATTAAACCTAATCTTAACTCAAGACATGGCCAAGCGGTGCCTCATAGTCCTGTCCCACGTTGGAGCTTCGCACGTTACTGAGTCACGTCACAAGGCTGTGATAGTCCTTGCAGTGACATGCATGATTGTACTGGTGGACCTACCCCAGACAATATGAGTGTATGTACGTACTGCCTATCTCACGTTTGAATGTTAGTGGACAAGCATAATTGGAGCGCTGCAGTTGCGGTCGGCTTCGCTATCCCTTGGACGGATGTGCAAAGCCTGTACTCGCTAGTAATGGGGTTAGCGTTATGACTGCACATCCTATAAAATTAGAGGTATCTTTAAGGGCCGAATTGCTATCCTCTAGTTGCGCCGAGACGATATTTTGTGCAGGTGAAGGATGTATAGCAAGGATATATAGCTGTTGCTGCTTCTGATACTATGAACAAGATAACTAACAGCAAGCCTAAGACCGCTGCAATTTTTATGCTGCAGATCGAAAATGGAAGAATGTATACTTTAGAAACGTCATTAGACTAATTGCAGCTTTGTACACTTGCGTTGTTGAAGTGCAGAGAGCTCGAACTAATGATCTGATTTGCCGTGGGAGGTTATTCGAACCGGTGGGATGGGCTTTACCAAACTTACACAGAGGGACGAACGATGGTCTGTAGAGACCGTTGCGGCCTCTGAGAGATGTGCTATCACGCCATTGAGATGGAAATTGCAAAAAAATCACGTTCTCGCTGTGTGTGGTGTTTCCAAGACCTCGCAGCACGTGATAGTTGGAGGTCGGGATCGACGACAACCATAAATAGCCAGACCAGC